TCGAAGTTCATACTAACTCCCTTTTTCTGTACGTATATTCAGGGCTTGCAACTATCTTAAGTCGCAAAACCCTTAGATTACCCGTGCGCTATGCGGATCTGGAATCTCTTATCGTATTTCTGGTGCATATTAATCGAATGATTATTCTCACTTTCCAGGCGGAAACAGCTTGCGTAAGTCAACCGTAATCATGGGGAACTGTACGGGTATGGCGACTCTACCGTCTGTTATCCGAAAGCCCTGTTTTTATCTTTCAACCGAATTCTACTTGAGGTGATTTGGCGTCAGAAACCTTCATAAGATACTCCCTGCTCGTTTTCTGGGAACTAGTTGCTGTAGCGAAAGGGATTCTGTGGACGGCGGTACGAGGATCCGGCGGTTTTCCATAAAATCAACCGAAACAAGAGGATAACTACCAATGGTCAAATTTAGGGGAAAGTTAACGCAAGTAGAACAGAGATATCGTTGGAGAACAAAGGAAGCTCCCAGTTGTCGCTCATAACATAGGTCTGAAACGGTCAGATAAAGGCGGTCACTGAAGTAAAAGTGGTCTTTGCAGAGGGGAATTTTGAATGTTCTTCAAAATCTCCTTTAGAAGGTCAAAGTACTGAATTCTTTTCACTACGAACTTATCTTGCACAAAATACCTGCATAAGGATGAGCAAACACAAATATATAGATAGAAAATTTAAAGTCAAAACAGCGTAACGAAGTCAGGTGCCATAATCTGACGTCTCAGTTGCGTGGGCAACTTTTTTCAAGGGTCTTTACAGTCACTTGCATGCGGGTCAAATGCAACGTCATTTGGGTCCCATACCATGTTTTCTGATTGTTGAGATCAGCTGCTAGTCAGATGCGGTCAGCGTTCATGGATGTGTTAGCTCTCTGTCTGTTTAGGCTCGATCATCTGTCTGGAATGTCCTTGGTTGAATTTTGTGATCTGGGTCCATCTCTTTCTGGCTGCGCAACTTCTCACTAGGCTCTAATTTGGAATTTCACTGTGACAGTAGCAAAATCTGCGGATTGTGCGCGTTGAAAACACATTACACTGAAACATGGCAAATCAAAGTGGGAATTAAAGCGGACATGGCTGTCCTGGAAGGGGAAGACGGAAGACATTCCCAACATTTGAAAGAGTGAACAAACAGTTCTAGCGTGGAAAACGGCAGTGCGCTTCACGTGTATGGAAAGATGACCGAGGCTAGATTGTTGTTTGCGAACGTTCTAGTGATCAAAAGAACGTCAGAGAACAGCAGACATTATGGCTGATCGCCACCTCAACCCCATCGGCCACACGACCTACCCTAATGTTGCGATTATAACAGTTTGAAATAGTGAAACATGAACAAACTTCAAGTTTTGCTTTCTAGTCACGCGGCGCATGAACACGGCAGACTCATACAACGAAACAAAGCCATCACAATGCACGACAAAACGTCTAAAAGAGGTTGGGTTGGCTGAATGGCAGTGAAGCAGCAGTGTCAACACTAATGTTATTGTCGCTAATGAAGACAATGATAACTCGTTCAATAAGGTCATGTCACATTCCTGGTCATTTTCGGTACGCCTAAAATCGCTTAGGATAGTCAATCAGCTATGTAAAGGGACAATTAAAATGTATCGTCCAGACGAAACGCACTACTCATAAGGTCACTGAAAAATCTTTGATAGCCCAAGCTTCATTCTTCTTGGGAGTTATCAGGCATATGCAGCCCCCGAGTTTCCGTCAGCCTTATGTTCTACGTAAACCAAAATTGATCCGAATTAGCCAGACACTCATTTGCGTACGACTTATATGCAGCCCCCAAGTTCCGTCAGCCTTATGTTCTACGTAAACCAAAATTGATCCGAATTAGCCAGACACTCATTTGCGTACGACTTTTTTGACGGGAGGCTCATCAGAATCCCACCTGTCATTCATATGACTCTCCCATGAAATCAAACTGATGAATGTATTTAGACACAGTCTTGTTAAACGCGGTAGATACCTACAATTGTTTACACATTTGTAAAGTAGTCAATTATTAACGATTTCTTTCAGAACTAAGAGTTTTACTCAAAAGACCGATGGACACGACACAACTGAAAATTGCTCAGAGAACCGGCGTCCTTCTTGCATTCGTGCATCAGGCTATTTGTTCCGAGGTGCGTCACACTATTTGTCTTGTTATCATTCTTTACACGCAAGATATATGAGACCATACATGCAAAAGCGTTTTTGCATTTTTATTCATGGAATTTAGGCTAACTTGCTCTAATCTACGCACGTGAGCAGGTACACTTCAATCCTGATCGGCCACTATATAGAGTTTGGTTTGACAGAGAGTACCGCATAGCTTTTGAAGTACAGTGGCTGCATGGATACGAATATTATGCTACAGAAAATCTTGAGAATAGAATTGAGGATGCCAAATAAACGGTTTATTTCTGGCTACATACACAACGCTTCGCACCGCTACAAAGGTGAGTGCATAATATGGACTGATTTTGTTCACAGGGTGAACTTCAAAATCGGAAGAATATTCTTCTTGAAAGCCTTATCAGAATAGCCTAGTTCGTCAGTGCTTGCCCGTCATGAGTGAATGGGTACTTCGAACTTCATTAGAACAAACGCACTATAAAAATTTACGATGGATATAAATGTTGATATTTCTGTTCCATTCACCTAATTTGGTAAATGGTTCGAAAAAGTTTTTGCACCATTTCGGGTAACTAAGTCATTGCTCTGTTGGTTCCTTGTTTCCCCCTCCATGGTTGCGGTTACCTGGTTGTCATTTTCGAGGAAATCAGTTTCTTGACAGATACTCGTTAGCAAGCCAATTTGATTGTGTCAGGAGACTGGACTTCCAGCTAAACCTTTTATCTATGGTGGTCTTCTGTTTTTGTTAATTGTTCTATTCAGCCTCGTGTTCGTTGTGACCCTTTGATCAATCAGGTGGGAGATGTTTGCGGGAGCGATGGAACGAGGTGGCATACACGCATCCACGCAACCAGGCAACCATGCACCCACACACACACGCATGACGTCAACTCGAAAAGACTTGGAATTTCAAATTTTATATTTTGCTGACCGACAACCAATACCTTACACAATCTACCAATACTTCACGTCGCTACGCAAAATGATTTCCTACAACCAGACATGAAGCTGGCTAGAAGATTCGGGCTTATTTGCACTTAGTTCTCACCCTATTGTGTCAGGGCATTAAGACGAGTCAGTAGGCTTATGTTTTGCAGTTGTAATGATTACCCTGATCGATAAAATTCATCTTTAGGAAGTCGTCGTTGTACAACCGCTTGAATTAAAGACCAATGCGATGATCTGCACTGACTCCTTATGTGATGCATGTAAGTGAAAAAGGCGAACGTCATATCGTATGTTGCAAATTAGAGCGGAGTTATGAATCGATGTGTGCTTTAGAAATTTAAGTTGAAGACCTGAAGGCAACAGATTTTTATACCCGACAGCCTTTCAGCTCTAGCTTTTCCTATCAAGGAAGGATGGCTTGATTTGGAGATCTCAGAAAACTGATCTCAAAAACGATCAAAGTTGACCACTATAAAGCACCTTTTTGAAGATTAGTATAGCCGCTGATATAGCAGTTCTCATCGACTGGAAATGAATAATTAAAAGGACGAATGAAATAAACGAAAGCGAGGGAAGTACCCTGTCATAACTGTCTCCGGATACTTCTTCTCTAAGGCTGGCCTACAAATTCAAAATCAAATACTGCCCGACAGACTATCCTCAATCAAAATACGCTGAAAGTAGCCCCGTTGGTGAATCAATAGATAAATAAGTCGTCATCCGAAAAGACAAACAAATAGGCTGTTTTTACTTCCGAGTGGTGGACAAATTCAGCTAAACACATCCCGATACATGATCGGACTGTTTTCAATAAAGGTGACATTCCTTATTGGAAGATGATGGCATATCGAGCGATCGAAGATTCCGCTAAGCTAATCTCTGCATTTTTCTTCAAACATTTTACCTTTAAATCCGGGAAAAGCTGAATTAAGTGAAATTTACTTGTGCTTGCATAAGTGATTACATATGCCTATACTTCGAGTTACTCTTGGAAAAATGATAGCTTATGGAACAAGACACCACAATTCCCTTTGGACGGTGAACTCATGATACAACAAATCTCTGCACTTATGTAGTGTCTGAAGAGATTCAAGCATTTTCATGAAGAGTTCCTCTTGTGAGCTAAGAAAATCTATGCCAACAAGTCAAGAAGCAGTGCACAGCTCCTTCATTTCCATTCTGAATCAACAGTACGCATCCAACGAATCTCATGAGAGTTTCTAACCCGCGAGTGATTGATTACCAGTGTGAATAGTTCACAATTAGGCATGACATAGCGCGACTCGTCTTTCAACTAAGCAATCTACATCGCTTGGTCACGGTTTGACTGGATCTTCCAATCAAGACTTCTCAAACGGAAGGTTCACTTGTCGTGTGAATTAATTGTTCCTCTGAAGCAATGCTCGTAGTCGAACAATCTAGTCTTCCGATGTTGGTCAGAAGTTCAAATGTCCCTGGAGGCTAGTGAGAGTTCCTACCTCTGAAGCAATGCTCGTAGTCGAACAATCTAGTCTTCCGATGTTGGTCAGAAGTTCAAATGTCCCTGGAGGCTAGTGAGATACTCACTGCTGATGACTCGCAATGAAGATGGAACAGCTATGCAGTGCTCTTCGGTTTTCACCCAACCTACAGGGCCGAAGCTCGACTTTATAAGCACAGAAAACTTAGTTACCTATACAAAAAGGACAGAGGTTGTTTTTAATAAAGTATACTTGATAAAGGGTCAACAATACTTGCTGGTGACTTAATGAGTTGAAACGGATTCTCTTGCAAATGCCCATTACTTAGCAGCTGACTATAGAAACGTTGTAAGACAAGTGAACATCATAGTAATAAAACACGAAGTTTACTTTATTTACTTACTTTTTTTGGGATACTGGCTTTTGAGATGAAATGCATAACCCCTTAGGGTAAAATGTACCACTATGACATTTCATATGCTATCCTCATTAATCGATTCAACACTCAGTAGCTGCAACAAACTTGATGAACTGAAGGACAACAACACACTGGTTCAGGACTTCAGGCCGGTTTTGTTGAAAAGTGTACAATACGTCTCTAAAGACTTTCAACAAACCCATGGGATGTTATTCCGAAAGGCAAAATTTAAACGTTTAAGCCATCACACTTTCGGCCCAGTCAAACTCTTCTGACGAATCGCGCCACAGACCAAAGTCCTGACAAAGCTGAGCTTTCTGTTATCCGATCACATTTATTCCAACATCCGACCAAGTTATAGCCCATGGACTGAATGTCACCCGTGAAACGATCTAATTATTAAGCCTTTGTCAACTTGACTGAATAAGTCCACGGGACGCGAGCTGTACTCATTTGCACGCTTAATTGGTTGTAACGAGTGACTCCAAGAAATCCATTTTTTAATCCAACTTTAAATGATGCAATAGGTCGTCCAATATTTCATTTGATACGATATTAGGGATATCACAATACGTTATCTAAACGAAACACACTGCACATAAAGTTGCTGCAGATTAGTATGGCGTGAATTTTTTCCCCTGTCGCTTTTTGCTAAATGCTGAGTTCACTAAAGAAACTACATCCGTTGAGGTAACAATGACACAATTTTGAAACTTCCCCACAACGTCGTCCATGGATAAAAGTTGTTGTCTTTATTCCTTTAATTCTACGTTTTATAAAACTTTGAAGCCAAACCTAAGCTGGCTTCCATTCCCAGAGTCCAACAGACTCAAGGTTTTCCAATTAAGGGGATGTTCAAGACATTTTTGTATTCTTTATTTTGTGTACAGGTTATTGAAACACATCCATGGCTTAGTGGTTGTGAAGTGGAAAGGTACAACTTCCATCAGTCTAGTTCGACAGTAACTCCAGTACTTGTGAAAACCGAAACGTCAGCTTTGGCGGACAGCGCCCTGGAAGACATTCTGGACATTGAGGTCCAGTTGTTTATCATAAACAGACGACTGCGTCAAGACATCCGTGAAATCCGGTGTGCGGTGGATATCCTATGAGACGAAATAACAGGTGAAACATAGGTTAGATCGTTTACTACTCAAAGTTGATTTGGACGTTGGCTTAATGAATAATAATAATTCTTGCGTTTTTAGTAAAACAATTTAATCAAAATTCCGGAAACCGCCAGTAAATTCTAAGTTCACAGTATAAAAGGACTACGATAAATACAACCTTATTTTAGCTGGATCTTTTTTTATGTTATTCATTAACTGAATGTTTTGCATTAAGGCCGCCCCATGTCTAATTTGGTACGCTATTTGGGATATCGCAGTTTATTATTACTAAGCAAACTATTCATGAGTCGGGCTGCTGAAGAGTTATCAGCAAACTTGCGAGTAGTGTCCTTTATTCACACTACACTCTAGTAATTCCCGCTGTTAGAAATGAGCGTATGTAGTCCTGTAAGACTGTAGAAGATCCATCGAAATTGAATAATTTTTCGTCTGAAACTATTCAGACCCAAAATGCCCTTGATTATGTGAAATCCTCTCTCTATTGAGCAGTTGTCAGTACACAACATCATCGGATCCCAATTTACACTCCCAATGAAACCAAGCAGCACTTTTCATAAAAGATGTACTTCTAGCTAAAAACCGAACCGTATATCTCTACCGTTTTCGGGCAGATTCTGCAAACATACGTATGACAAAAGACAGAAAATTTCTGTTTGAAGCAGGTGAGTATGGGATAGGTAAGCCAATTTTTGGACCATTAATATACGCTAGTAGGAACGGTGAACAAAATTTTGCTTCACTCTGTTTTCCAGAAACGATGATGTACATTTCGACCGAGAAGCTTTCTGGTATGATTATCACTGAATCCACGTATGAGGTCTCCAGAAGTGATTTGCTAAAATACACACGACGCAAGGTAGGTCTTGTTCCTGGATGACCTTACGTAAATGTATAAAACTCATGTTTAAAGTAGCGTCAAAGTATCTGGAAACACGTATATTATCAAGTTTTGGCTATTTATTGATCGGAGTGACAAGCAAGAAGTGTGCACTTGTTTTATATTAAATCACCGAAGTAAGCAAAAAGTAGGCGAACAGTTAAGCGCTTTTGTACGGGTGAACATCTAATCCATGACTCCTCTCTCGGCAAATATTGACTCCCAGCTGCACCACCTCATGCGCATGCACACGCTCCCCGAGCTGACTCGCCGCCGATTTCTCTGTTTGACCAGGCGACAGTCTAAGACCGTCGAGTTCCAGTTATGACTTCAGTTGAAGTTCCGGTGTCTATATCACTCATGCGCCTGGATGATACACTCTGGCATATAGAATATGCACCTGACTTACACACGGAAACAATGGACACTTGATCACACATGTTGGGCACTTGCTAAGAACATGTTCAGGTCAGAAAACGTATCAACGAACGCGGACACACAGAAACCTGCATGGTTTTGGGGATAGATCGGGTTGACTGATTTTGCGTGCCACCAGTTTCCAAGTAACAATACATGAGCGTCTGCCTAATTAAATCTCGTAGTTAGCGTTCTACGGTCAAAAGCACATGCAAAGAAACCGTTGCGTCAGGTTTCTTACCTCACTGACACTCCGTCGCTTAGTTCTACGAACGAGTCTCCTAACCTTTTGATTGCATGAAGGGTGGTCAGCTGCCCACTGTGATCGAATGAGAGAATCGGATTCGGTAGCATCATGCGTCAGACGCGCAATATAATCCGTGAGCTGAACTGCATTAGGTAAATGCGACCTCAAAATTCTGAAACACCAATGACCACCCTAGTAGTAACTTGGTGCAAACATTTAGTCTGTCGTTCGAACAGAAGTAGTGGTAGAATGTATATTTCCGACCGGGTATTGTAGAAGAGGTTGGCAGTTAGAACACGGTTACCGAAGCATACATATCGCAAACAGAAAGACAAATACTGGATGCGGCAGCGGTACACACAAGGAATCACGTATGTATCATGCATATAAAGCTCCACAGATACTACCAAAAAGCTATCTCAACCAGAATGAGAAACACTCAGGCCCCAAAGTTATTTACAACTAAATCTGAGTTTCGGTAGCTACCGGAATCAATCCTAGATAGATGAGTTGGCCACGGGAATTACCAAACAACTTACTGATTCAGCTTCGGGCCGCTTGAGCACTGAGGTTAATCAAGAATGTTTAAACAACCGTCCAGGCGAAAGCTATTCTGGACATTGGTACTCATTCCTGTAGGGTATCTTGCAAACCCCTGCATATCGCATGAGCGAATTCCGTTTCATCAAGGTAGAAAAAATCCTGTCGGATTAGACTGAAGATGCGAAATGACAAGAAAATCATTAAAAGTTATGAAAAGTCCAACATGAGTGAAATATACCTTACTTCGAGATTGCTGTATAGAGAGCTAGCTAAGGATAGAATCCCATGATGAGAGGTTTTAAGTGGTCCCAATTTTTCCACCGATTCTCCCATGCAAAGAACATCACTAAAGAGTGACCAAAATTAATCCTCTTCAAATTATGCTTTTTGTTGATTTATTTAGTCAGTTAAATAGTCCAACACGACTTATATCATCCAAGTGCCACATCACAACATATGATTCCAAATGGATAGATAGAAATGACAAACCCCTCGATGTTTGCGATGGATGCCATTGTGAACTTAAACGAACAAAATATTTTTCTAATCTGATCAGGTTTTGCTTGTCGTTGAAAAAATTCGAGGACAGCGCTTCGAATGTAGCTGTAAATTTGTTATGTTTTTTGGTGGCTGTACATTCACAGTGGTCCAGCTGCATTAGGTCAATGTGATTGAATAGTACTCCCGCGTCAGCCAAAAACCAAGTGCGTTAAGTGAAACCAAAAGCAAATGATCTAACTGCCGCATTGTTATTTCTCCAACTGGCGCTCAAAACTACAGCAACTCTACGTCCATACGGGAGGAATACGTGCTACCGCGTTGGATAAAGCGAAGATACTGAGCATGAATATCCCAACTTAATCGACTGCATCAATCGCAAATTGAAAGGTAGGTGACATCAAACAAGTGCGCAACAAAATGCTGCGTCAGGGGTGGAGGCAACATGGAGGAAAGTTGTTGTTATCCAATCAAATGAGTGGGACCTATCAGATCGCGAGTACAACACGAAATGCATTCTTCAGGTGCCGCTAGGCTCCACGGCATAGAGGAGAATTTCCCACAAGCGANTCTGTCGCTACAAAAAAACACTTGATCAGAGAAGACTTTTAGATTCAGCGAAGCAAATAAATATGGGTTTCTCTATGGCAACACTTTTAACGACTGATCCGACGGAGTACCTGTTCAGCTAGCCGGATATCTGTAAATTGTGTTCACTCTCTTGCGTCTTTTCGCCTATACTATGATTAATTGGGATTCCTATTTCAACAAACAAAATCCGCCCCCATACAGTTATTTTAGATCAAGCCAAGATTCAACATAGACGTCAGATAATTCAATACCGAACTGTAAGACGGCGTTTGTAGTAAATCGATCGACTGGTTTATAGTTCGTTATTTCGGAGTACTTATGGGTCTCCTGACAGTACATTTACTTGATTAAGGAATCGATTTTTGAATACGCCACGATATTTAGTTTTCAAATGATTTTATATCAGTTTGGAAGATACTTATTAACATCTGTGTTTGCTGTCACTTAAAAATGACTTCGTCAACCCTAACTGGCTTCATGTGAACTGTACTTCTTCTGTTGTTTGGAATTCGTCATCTATGAACTATGTTGAACTTTCAGATTCACCGGTCTAGTTTCTATACCACTAACATATGAGTTCATCTGATGTTTGGAAGTCCGACAAAACTGTCACGGATGTCGGTGTTATCATTAAAATAACAAATTCCTTGCTTACCGCATGCTACGTTGTTTACCGTGGTGCTCTCTCAGAAGTTTGCCGTGAGTTCGGTCTTAGTACTGATCAGACAGAGCGCTAAGTAATATGATGTGACTAATGACGAGATACCTCCAAAATGGATTATTTGCCGATTGTTGCTCCTTATGTTCCAGATTTCTTCTGGTTTGCTGCACAAGGAGCATTACCTACTCATCTATCCTGAACGACGACTGAAGTACCCAGAATGGAAGATCATCCGGTTCCGTTTGCACTATGTCACAGTAATGAAGCCAGGAGAGATTACATTTCCTGAGCAATGGCAGGTTGGACTCCAAGGCAGATGACTTGGGGGCGAACTTCCAATTACCGGTTTATGCGGACCATAGTAAGCATCCATAGATTGTCAACTGATTTGTTGAACGTTATAGCCTACTTACAATTTGACAAGTAGCGACAATGCCGGTTGAATTACCATAGCAAAACAGACTGGATTCCAATGTTTCGCCGTATCTTCTCAGTTGTGCGTAGGCCGACCCAGCCCTGGAGGACTAGGCATTATCCATCGATTAAGAAAGTGGGAATTGATTGCATCGGGTCGTTAGGTTTACATAAGAGTCCTAGTACAATCCCGTACAATGTAGTACAATCTAGTAATATATATATATAAGGAGTGTTTTGCGAAAAACGAGGGTGCCCTTTTGTCAAAGCCCCTGACTGTTCAAAAACAGTCCAGAAAAAACATTTATTTCGTCTTCAAACACAAAGTAAACAATCGATGTTCTCTGAAAAAAATGCAAAGAACTCACCTTTGTCTTGTGTTGTCTAAGCAGCGTTAACCACAAGTTGTTTCAAAAGCCATGAAAGAGGCAGTACACTCGAAGTGACTATGTTGTTCAAGATAAACTTTCGTCCTCAAATAGCTTCCTCTCAGTGGTCATTCTAAACAGATGGAAACATTTGTACTTGTACAACGGATGAACAACCAAACATTTTTATGTGACCCCCTTTGTCTGGAGTTCAGAACGGTCTGTGGCAGACTGATGATAACATGCACAAACTGCCCATTTTAAATTATGACACAACACTCATTGTTTCGAAAATCATAGTTTCAGCGTGCTGCCGTCCCACGGAGTCAGGAACATAATCCTTGGTACGTACAGGTTGGAATTCGCGGGTTCTGTCGGCTGAAGGCACCTGCAAATTGACGTTCACTCAAGTACATTGAAGTGACAGTGAGAACTTTTTCTTAGTATATCCCTTATTCACAACCCCTGGAGCGATGATACAACTTCCAAAATGATGTCATTGGTGTAGCTAAACTCGATGGATTTTACACAAAATCAGCCTAACAAGTTATGTGATTCATTACAGCTGACCCAAGTATGTTGCGTAAGTTCGGTTGCTTTTGTTTTACTGTACGTATATAAGTAGTACGTAGCGAAGCACAATCAACTGATCAAAGTGCTCTGTTGGGCTCGAAGCATCTCAGAAAGTTCCCCGACCATCAGTCAGAAGAAAACACTCAGCGGTGCGGCTGGAGTTGTGTAATCAATCATTCAATCAATCAATCATTCATCCAATCATTTCTATTATAGATAAACATTTTCCAGATCCGTTGGTTCGGATTAAATTCGTCATAACAAACTATGATTAAGCACATCTATCGAGTTGCATTGTGTGTGTGAAACCCGAGCGTAACCAACCACTGAAGTATTCCAAATTAGGATGTTGTTTTCAATTGCCAAGTTTATCTCTTGCAACCCGAGCATTTGCTGTTGGTGTGGGACCACATTTTTTGACGGCAGCCGGAAGATACGGAGACGGGGCAGTCATCTACATTGATATAATATCGGTAACCCGTTCACCAGCGTTAGGATCGTATTATTGACAAGGGTGGAAATAAGTGCCCACGTACCACAAAATAACATGAGGTATCCTCAAGGAGGTGCCCAAAAAGTTAAAAACTAATAGATTGTTCAACTCACCTGCATGCCAGTTTGGTTTCGGCAGGAGACCAACCAGGAACCCAGCTGAATCTCCCATTTTTTCAAATGATTGCTACGATATTCGTGCAATTGGGTTTAGGTAAAAAATAAGTTTGAAGAAAACTCGAGAACTGCGTCTACTTGACGAACCCCAAGTAGGGTCCAACCGGTTGTGGGCTGTCAGAGTTTGCAGCAAGCCTACAAGTAGTTTATTACCTTAATATTAGGCGCCGCAGTTGGATAATCGTAATGTTCCTAAGGCAGAGAAAGAAACAATATCCAGAATGTTAGAAAAGAGTGACCACAGTCAAGTGTTTTGAGAACGAACCTATTTTCAAACCTCGATCACAAATCCAAACAGAATAAGACGACCTACTAAAAATAGACAACGGAATAGGGATTAAAGCGTACCGTCCCGGATTTTTATAGGATAGAGGACTTGATGATGGAGTAAGAACGATTGTTGGATTCAAAAAGCATCGCATATTTTAGATACAACCTTCCGATACCTCGTTAGCGATCGACTGGATATACCTAACTATCATTTCTGGAATTTGAATCAGACGATTCCTCAACAACTCTGAGCGATTATTTTTCATGACAAGTTATCACAGTGGTCAGGTACGTCAGCTTGAAAACGAGTAAGCCTGATCCATTTTTTAGATTCTTCCATAGAAACTTTTGAACTGGATGCAATGCAGGGGGTGGTATCTAAGTTACTTGTACTGATTCATGCTTGGTGCACTGAATACGTAATAGTTTTCGTAGCTCTCTGACTGTAAGACGTACTCGGATTGCTTAGTAAGGTGACTCGGATCTCCTGTGAATCAACAGAACGTCCCAATACAAGTTACTAAAGTTCCACGAAGGACTATGCCATCTGGATATTTGTCTACCTGGGCATAAGTAACCATGAGAGATATCACCTATCTAGGACAGGAAGAAATTTGTGAACAATGCCCAACCTTTGTCAAATTATGTAATTTGAATCAAATTACGAATACAACGGACAAACGAGGGCAAATGACTCCACGATTTCATGGTTTATCGCCAAGTTTACAAGGTAAAACTGGAGAGGATCAGATTGCCAGATTTCACTCCCAAATTATGGTACCCAAAACCTACTCATATCTCCTGGAGTGGCGATCAAGTTGACTGCCAAGCTTGACGAACAGGTCAACAAACAGCTGATCAACTAGTGGTGTTAAAACCGTGAACTAACTGGACCACGCCCCCGGGGTAAAATAGACGTTTTTATTTTTTAGGGTTAATAAATCCATGTATGCAAATTACCTCAGAAACAGTTTATGCTGCACGCTGACATCGAATGCTATAAGCAGTGGAAAACTTATCTTTGAAGCCCGTTGCTTGGCAAACACTTTTGGTTTTGATCTGTTTCACCAAATTATTCATCTTTATTATTTCAGCGAAAGAATTTAACATTCTGACAAAAGAACAAAGTGAACCGGATGTCTGTGAGATGGTAAGTGCTAATATGGATTGTTTTGTTGAAAACCGAACAGCATGAATAATGCAAGCGACTGACCAAAAGAAAATCTGCCCAAGAAAAATCGATAGGTGAGTAATTATTCGAAAAACACAAATTAGGAGATTGTCAAAAATTCTTCGGCTTTAGGCTTCCGGTTTTACCCATCTGGATTCCTGTCACTTGGGTATAGTCCACGAGTTTCCGTCAAACCTATGTTCTACTTGAAAAACAAAGTTTAGGCAATTGGCGAAATCGCACCCATCTGCAAACTAAGTTGAAAAACCCAAATGAGTATGTAGTCTTTTACTATACTCCTAAACCAAATATGCTGTCATATTGTCTTGTTTAGTACAATGTTCCAGATAGCACAGTACCTTTCCTGACGTGAGGTTGCTTGAAACCCATGAACAGCCCACATTCCGTTTTGCCCCATGAAGCAGAAGTTTCGAAAATTCCGCTAACCTTTGTCTCATCTTAATTTAACTTTTATCTCACTCGCAAACTATACTGGTTTGCAAACTAAATTGGCTTTAACTGAAGACACAACTGAATCTTCAACCTGATTTGTTACCATGTTTCATTACATTAACCAATACAGTGATCGATGTACAGAACACACGTTCCACAAATTAGACAGCCACAATGCATCAGTGTTAGAAATATCTTAACTTAGGAGATCGGGGGGGGGAAGCTATTTTTCCCGACGCTTCCACGTGACCCTTTGAGTCACTGCAATGTCGCAGAAGTTGAACTGCTTGGTATCGTGGGGTTAATTTTTGCATTTTGGATGTTGCGCTCAAGGAAAAACTAAATAGCAAGCTTCAGAGGAGAGTATATCGAATAGATATCTGGTCCGGCCCACGTTTCGCCGACTTCAGATATAAACCAAATCTAACCATTGGTGCTCCCAACACGGCTTGCACAACCCGTATCGATGGCACTTTAAGTGCAGAACTGTGCCCAATTTTGAAAAATTCTAATGGGATTTGAATGGCAAGTAAATTCTGTGTTACGGCATATAAGGTGGCTAAGACGTTATGTCAAACCGCACGGCTACTCGACAAAAAAGGAACTGATATACAACTGACATCCTTACTGGTTGATTAGTCCTTTAGAGAGGTCGACTGACCACCGTCCTCATTCAATGTGTTCAAAGCTAACTCCGACCAAAAGATGTCTGTCAATGACTTGTCTACTTTGGTTTATTCCTTTCTCTGTAAGTGTTCCGCAAACTACGCATGTTGCGTGCCTTTCCCTAATAACTGTTAACCCTATGCTACCTTGCAAAAGTTCTGGTAAACTGAACCAGGTGTCTCGTGTGACTTCTACCCAGGTGAATTCAACTGCGGTAATCCTTTTCCACCATAAACGTCGTGCCTAGCCTTAAAAGGTTTTCTAACACACAGGTAGAAAGGGCTCCGATATGGAATCATGAGTGGATCTCCTGCTAGCATAAAAAAGAAAATAAAGCTTCAGTTTGTTACGGAAGTTGTAGAAGTCACATTCGCACCACCCTCATTCGAACCGTCGATTTCCTGCCCAGGCGTAATTAATCCGGCGAGTCTGTAGCCATCCCTTCACTCTCATACATGACTGTACAGATCACAGGCGCTCACTGGACCACGAGACTCGTCTGTTTTACACCCGTCACATAAAGGTGACTCACCTGACATTGATTATCTGTATCATCTAGTGAGCGTAGCAACAACTCATCTGCTGACGACCAACGTACACGCAAACATAACTACATATAGGACGTCCGAACACAAGCAACAAACGGACTCGCTCGCGCGCGAGCAGATAGCAGGTGTAGCAGCTACACTGCGGAGAAAACACGTTCCTGCCGTCCGAACCGAACTTTCACAACCCA